AAGAAAGTTATATATTTAATTACTTTAAGCCATGTCATCATTTTGAAAAGACATCTCATAATTTTTAACCAATAAAATTAAAACATTTAAGCTTTTTTAATAATTGTATTTTGGTTTTAATAGGAAAAGGATTAAACGGCAACCAAAAAAACATAAAAATCAATTATGTAATGGGAAATTCCAAACCAAACTATAAAACTTTTTTTTTTTTTTTTGCTAAAGGTAAATATTTCATTAAAAAATGAATACGTTTTGGGTTTACAAGTCGAAACATTATAAACCCATAAAAATAGTCCCAAGGCAAAAAAAAAAAATTAAAAACATGAAAGCATAATTCATTGCAAATTTCATTTCGTCGACTCGACATAAGTACAAAGCTAATGACGATATTGTTGTTCTTTCCAAATCTGATGTTCGAGACGAATATGCGAAAGTAAGAAGCAATATCTGAAATGTCCAAGCTCAAAGCAATAGAAGCCTTTCACTGGAGGCTCTTTAGCGAGTCGTCAACGGCAACGTCCTCGAAGCCCTCGATCACATATATGCGTCATGTGAGAGCGGCTCGAACTGCAATTCCAGGAGTTAACACAAAAAGAAACCTCGCGAACCAATTTAAGTGAATGGTACAAGCTCACTCTACCAAGTTCTTCCCGAAGTCAATAGCACAGAGCTAGATATAACCAATCAAAACTACACCGAAAACAATTAGTCTTATTAGCTCCTTTAATGCACAAGATCAAAGAAAAAAAATCAGAACGTCCTATAACACAAAACCTCATCTGCACATCACCATCAACATCAAGTAACAAGCAACATCAGGGACTGACCAATCATCAATGCTAGAAATACTTGTGATGTATACCCAAAGAGAAGTAGGAAAACCACCACCGGTGGCCATTATACCGCTAATGTTGCATTACCATAAGAACCGGTAAGTAAAATTTGGCTCAAACTAAGGCGAGCCCTCACACCCGAGACGCCACGACGATTACTCACCCATAGAATTTGCTGCTGTCTACACATAGAAAACTAAGAGAGGAGCAATCCTCTAATCAAGTCTTTTCGCCTAGACAAGAAACCAAACAAACACAAACTAGAAGCATTGCCTTGTTACCAAACCAGAGGCAAAAGGACATAAGAGATCGAGGTTTCAACAACCAAAGACATAGAGAAGCCCACAACCAATTTCTCGGTGAAGCAAATCCGGCTCATCCACTGAAAATCCCTAAAATCACAATCAGCCACAAATGAACTCAACCTTCAAGGTGGAGACAAGGCTTCTCACTTGAAAAACTACAACCGTCCTCGATTGGGTAATCATTCGAGAAGAAACCCAACCACCAGAGACGAAGGACAAGGCGCGAAAGAACATCCAAGCGAAGCTTAGAGATAGCAAAATCTGAAGAAGGACGGAGTAGCGAAACCACAATAAGCGTCGCTCCACTACCGGTTGAAAGCTGGCTTTGTCGTCGGAATTCTTAAAGAAATGAGGGATCTACAAAGTAGATCTAAGCTTGGCGAAAAGTGTGACACAAGTGCTGGGAAGCAGCTGA